AGCAAAGGACAGAGTACATCACTTCTGCTCCCATTCAATGGCCTTAAACTTTCGCTGCCCTACGTGGATGCCAGGGAGACTGGGAATGAAGTCTCTAGCCAGGCAGTCATGGGTCTGTGTAAAGTTTCTTTAATTATGGTTCTGGCACAAAGAGAGGGGGTGACTAGTAGTTTCTGGCCAGGTGGAACAGCATTCAGGGTGGATGGAAGGGCAGGGAGGTGGGAAGTTCCTGCTATAATCAGCTTCTCATTGGGTTGAAGAGTAGGATGCTGGGGGCTAAGGAGAGGAGTATGTGTGGATATAGAGGCTGGAGAGGCAGGTGGGGTTCGACCGGAGAGGGCCCGAACTGGGGGCCAGGGACTGTGTGCCCACATATCTGAGCTCCACTCACACCATAAGCCAGCAGTTGTCCTGGGCCACTCCTCAGGCCTGCAGTTTGTCCACTGGTGGTGCAGCCCACTCCTGAAGAGAAGGAAGGAAGGAAGGAAGGAAGGAAGGAAGGAAGGAAGGAAGGAAGGGAGGGAGGGAGGGAGGGAGGGAGGGAGGGAGGAAGGAAGGAAGGAAGGAAGGAAGGAAGGAAGGAAGGAAGGAAGGAAAAAAGAAAGAAAGAAAAGAAAAGCAGCCCTCATAGACCCTGGGGCTCGGGGCAATTGGAGCAGTGTCAATGTAAGGAACATAAGAAATGTCCAGACCTATAGAGAATTTTAGGAGTTTATTTGAGCTAAATAGATGACACATGCCAGGGAACGAGGTCTCAAATACTTCTTGAAATGACAGTTTGCAGTTTCTTTCATGCATTTGGGATTTAGGAAGTAACTAAGACTACATGGAGGTGGGAGATAGCAACGTGGGGACCGGATTACAGGATAGTGAGATTGTGTGCTCTTTTGAGGGTGGTTGTGGTCTTGAGGGATCTGTAAAAGAAGCATTTCAAGTGTGTGTCAACCTAGATCCACAGAAACAATGGACAAGGCCTGTGCACAGCAAAGATAAGCTTTTTACTAAATATATATCTTTCTATGCCTGGCTTGGGACTACCCACCATGACCTGCCCAACTGGGAATTTGTGATCAGATTACCCTGTGGGATTGCTTTCAGGCACCAAGCTTGCCATATTCATTACAGACCCCTTTTTTTCCATCCAGGGAAATCCAGGGACTCCAGGGACTGGCCTGAGGTATCATGAGCTCCAGGTGGGCACATGGTCTTGGTCTCACAGACTTCTCACTCCTTGGGGAGGGACACAGCCGGAAGGACAGAGGGACAACTTGGAGAAGTGTTTTCCAAACTTTGCAGCACCTTACAGTCAATTGGGACTTTAAAAAGATACTCATGCCTACCTGCACCCTGTGGAGACTCAGCTTTAGTTGTTTTGAAGTAGAGTGTGGATTCTGGTACTTAAAAAAAAAAAAAAAAGTCCCGCATGATTCTAAGGGACCACCATATTCTAAAGCTTGGGCCTGGGTTTTTGTTGCGTAGCAGGATGGCAGGTAGTGCTGGCAAACCACTGTCCATCATCTTGGAATATCTTTTCCATATTTGTGGAATATTCTAGTCTTCCTGGGTCCAGACACTCAGTTTTCCAGCTCCCACAGACAGTTGCCTCACGCTGTCATTGTACCAGCAACACTTGCTCACTGGGAGGCCAGAGCTGTGAGGAAGCAGGCCCCAGGGTAGAACCCGCTCTTCAAGGAGAAGAGGTCCTGTCAGCTCTCGGAAGAGGCGGCAGAAGAAGTTCTGGGGGGGGAGTCTGGGACCACCATTCAAGGAGTGGACAGTCCCCATGCCATCTGCTCCCAGGAGTGCAGGGAGACACTGGGTCCCTTTGCTGGTTCAACTTGGTTTAGTCTGTGTGCAGTTAACAACAACAACAAATATTTAATCAAGGGCTTATCATCGCCAGACTCTGCTCTAAACACCTTCAGAACAATCCTATGAGGCAGAAACTATTTTATAGAGGAGGCCACCGAGGCCAAAGAACTGAAGCCACCTGCTGACTGTCACCCAAGGGAGATGTGTCTTTAAACCAAAGCCATCTGCTTACCGAGTCCCTGCTTCAAAATCCCATGTTATTGTTGTGTGGGGTTATTATTATTGTTACTGTCATTTCTCAGATGCCAGGGGTGGTGCAGTGACCTTCCCAAGGCTGTAGCAAGGATGCAGACTCAAGAAGCCCAAGGAGATTTCTCTTCCCCATGCTGGCTGCCAGGTGCTGCAGGTGAACCTCATGCTTGCCGGCCCTGGCGCCACAATGCCTAGGGAGCTGGTGAGATTGTCACCCATGTGAATAACTTTGCTGCCCACTCTGAGCATTCTGACTGAGACTTATCGGCCTGAAACTTCCTCCAGCTGTGTTTCAGCCAGATCTGGGCCTCAAATTCCTGGGGGTCATGTGCGCTCTGCCTGCGATAGCAGCCCTGGCAGGGCTGCCTTGGCTGCATCTCTGCTCAGATAACAGAAGTCTGGCGAAGCGTCTCCACTTTATCTCCCGGAAAGCTGGCTTGGCTTTGGACTCCGACGGCTGCTGGATGAGGCCAGATCTCCTCCACCTACTCCACCTCTCCTAGCTCAGGAAACTGCAGTGGGAAAGGGAGCCGTACCAAAGGGCAGTGGGTTGCCCAGATGAGTGAGGCAGGTGTCTTCCACTGTGCCAGCCTGCCCGCCCGATGACAGAAGGAAGGAGTCATTCTGTCACTCACTCATCAGCTATTTACTGAGCGCTCCCCTTGGGTCGAGTCGTGTTCAAATTGTTTTTATATTTGAATTCATTTAATCTTCCCAATAAGCCCATTAGATAGGCCCTGCTGTTATTTTATTCATTTTACAGCTGAGAAAAACAAGGTCCAGAAGTCACTTGCCCAAGGTCACACAACTGGTGTGCGGCAGAGTTCTTAACACAGGCTATCCTACCTATAGTCATTTGCAAATGAATAAACAAGTCAGCCAGTGACAAATACTCTGAAGAGCAGAGAGAGTAGAGCAGTTGCTAGTTGCTACCTCTGCGGAGGTCTCAGAGAGGGCTCCCTGGGGTGACGACTTTTCAACCATATCTCAATGCGAGGATGAGTCATCCACGAGGCTCTAGGGGAAGAACATTTCAGGCAGAGGGACACAGCATGGGTGTGTACACGGGTTCTCAGGGAAAACAGGCTCCAGTGGGGAAAAGAACCCAGGGAGCAAGGGGCCAGGGTTAGACAGAACGCCAGGGCAGGCTGGACCCAGGTTCCCAGTTCAGGCTCTGGCTCCTCATCCCCTTTTGCCTCTTCTGCGGCCAGCCCTGTCTGAGCCCTGCAGCATTTCCTGGCTTCACCTCCTTCCAGCTGTGTGATCCTGGGCTAGGGGCTCCCCTTCTCTCTGCTTTTGTGGGGTGCCTCACCCATGTCTGGGGCGACAGTGGGGCCCCTGGGGTGAGGTACACTCTGGGCCCATGGTGCTGCCCAGATATGAGGTGGCAACCACTGAGCCATGTGTCTTCTTGCAGGGATGGCGGGTGGTCCTGGAGGTGGTCCTGGAGGTTCTAACTTCCTCGCGGACCCAGTCGAGACTTCAGGTCTCGGAGAATGTGGACCCAGGACTGAAAGACCAAGGGACAGAATCAGAAGCAGATGCAGAGATCAAGAAGGACAGAGTAAACTGGAAAGACAGGGAAACATAAGAACAGAAAGAGACACACAGAGAGAGGTAGGATGGGGGTAGAATAAGAAACACAGTGAGAGGGGGAGAGAGAGAGAATCATGAATGTTCTATCGACTTGAATTGTGTACTTTAAGATGGCGAAAATGCTGAATTTTATGCCATGTGAATTTCACTACAATAGGAGACAAAGGCAGAAAATGGCAAACAGGGAAAGACAGACAGGTGGGAGTTCAGAAGTCCAGGGTCCTGACTCTCTTTGGACTGGCTGGACTCTGAAGCTGACGATGGGGTAGGGACCTGGGGTTCCTGTGCCAGAGTCTAGTCCCGCAGGGCCCAGGGTTCCCAGTCCTCCTTTCACCTGCGCAGCTGTGGGGCCAGAATGTGCTGCCCTGTTCTGGCAGTGCTGGATTTTGTGTGGGTTTGGGGGTGGGGTTTTGAGTCCCTAGATGGGAGAAAGGGCCTGGGAGGTAGTCCCTTGCCAACGTTCTGCTCCCCACAGGTCTTCTTACCAGGCACAGGCTCCTAGTCTGCTAAAGGGGATGAGTGGGTACCCGGCCATGGGATGCTCGCCCTGCCTGGACTGTGGGGGCCCCGAGTCACAGTAATCACCGTTTTGAACTTACAACTTGCAGGGTGTTCACCACCTGTGGAATGGGCCCTGTGCTGAGGGCATGACATGGGATTCCCCATGTCTCCCCATCAACAGTCAGGGGTTAACCTTTCAAGAGATGAGGAGGCTGGATTCAGAGAGGTCAGGGTCTCACAGTGGTCACAAGAAGCTGTGTGGGGTGGGGAAAATGACCAACCTAGACAGTCTCAAAGCTAGGGGCTGAGAGCCACGTGCCCAAAAGACCTGTATCAGCGAGTCAAGTGCCAGCAGGCCCCATGGAGTGTGGGAACCCCCCAGGGAACTGAAGACTGGGGCCAAGCTGGGCTTGCTGTGGACGGTGGGCCCTTTCATACTGGTCTGCCTCTTTGAACAGATGTACCTAGGCCTCTCAGGCCCTCCCAACGTGTCCAGAGTTTCTGAGCCCATGTTCCATGTGAAAACTCTGAGGGTCACACCAGCTGGGGTGGCCAGAACAAGGCTCCCCAGCTGCGGGCAACAGTGCTACATCTGGAACTCAAAAGTTTAGACTGGGTGGCGGGGGGAAGGGGGTTGCGAGGAAGGGGTCGAGGTGCTTGGCAAACGGGCGGCAGCGCAGCCATCCCTAGGCCTCGGTTTGCACGTCTCCGCCGGAACGGAGCGGCACCAGGTTGCCCACCCACTACCCCCGCAAGCGGAGACCCCGCCCCGGAGGCGGAGGCACAGGACGGGGCGAGAGCCGGCTCCGGCCCGCCCCTCTGTGCCTCCGCCCCGCCTCACGCCGCGCACAACCCTGGGCGCACGAGCTCTGGAGGCGCTGGAGGCGCCGACGGCTCCGCGGACGGACGCACCGACGGACGGACGTGCGTAGCTCCCCGCGGTGAGTGGGCACTGACCCCCGCCAGGGCCTCTCTCTCCCCACTGCGCCGCGACCCCACCAACTTTCGCTCAGCGCCCCGATGCCCCGACGGCTCGGCGGCCCCACGGCCGCACGCCCCGCGTCCAGGTCCTAGTCTCGGGGACTGCCCCTCCGCGCGCCAGGCCCATTGGATAGATGTGGGCACTGAAGCTGGCTCCTTACTGCGGGCTGGGGCTCCGCGGGCAGGTCCCCCACGCGCCAGTTCCCGTTGGTCACCAACCCTCCTCCCCTTGTCCCACTGCTTTCCAACAGCCTTTCAGGTCGAGAGGCCCGGTCCTCATCCACCCAGGGGAAGACTGGAACCTGGGTCAAGCACCACCGCTTCCTTCGCACATTCCCAGTTACCCCTCCCCCCTCTCCCGGTCACACTCACTGCCACACACGCACTCACGCCAGTAGCCAGCAGAAGTTCTTGCACACTGTCGGTGGGTGCACCCACCCCCGTGTCTGTCATTCTGTTCCTCAGGTTTCTCAGTCCAATGTTCAGAGCTTCCTCCCCCAGATTTCTCTCAGACATGTTTGGGCTCCTCACATTACCCCTCACACTCTGCCCTTTTGTGCACACGTGCTTCGTACGTACGTGCCTTGTACACTGGTGTCTCTTAGACATACGTGACTCTGTATCAAACATTTGTGTTTCTGTTAAACCTGTACGTGTCTCTACCATGCACTGATGTCTGCCTCACATGTGACTATCATGCATATGATGTCACATGCATGTCTCACACACACGGAGTCACAAACAGTTCCACACACACTGTGACTCTTGCACACAGAGTCACATATGCCCACAACTTCATGGCCTAGGCACCGGCATGCCATACCTCCCTGGGCGAGGTCCTCAGGCTGTCCCGAGTACTTGGAAGTTGGGGCGGGGGAGGCTCTTGTCTGACACTCCCTCACAGTGGGGCCTGGGTGGCTTTGGGGAGCACAGGGAGGGGCCTCCGCCTGCAGGGTGGCCCTGACTCTGTCAGCCTCCTCACTCCTCGTCACCGCCTGCATCCTCTGCCCTTCCCTACTCTCCCTAGAAGGAGTGCCCCCCTTCTTTGCTGTCACAAGTTCTTGCCCTGACTTGGACTGGTCCAAAGCTGGTCTGGGCCAGGAGATGTCACGTGACAGGCCAGAAAAAGTAAAAAGGTTTTGGGTGTTAGTCATTGTCTTGAGCCCCTAGAGAAAGGGAGCCTTGATGTCTGGGCCTGCCACTGGCACATACTTGGGGCTAAATGATGGGGCTCTGGGCCTCATCTTCCCCATATGCAGATGGGGGTGGAGGTCCCTACCAGGAGGAAGAAGGGACCTGGAGCTCTTGCTTTCAGTGCTTCCTCAACTTCCCATTTCCCTTCTGTGTTCAGAGCTGCGTGGTGGAGCAGTGGGCTGGGGATGGATGAAGTCGAAGAATCTTATTCCTGTGGCATGAAAATCGGCCAGCCCTGGTTGTGGTTGGCCCTGCATGTTTCGTTTGGCTCTTACCATGTTGTTATTATTTTTAAATATTTAATTAGCTGGTAGCATTTACAAATTGTCAGGTTTCACATAAAAGTCTGGATTTCTGTCTTCTGAAAAATTGTAGAATCTGGCAGCTCAAAGTCCACATCTCTACATGATGCCCATTGGCTGGTGCTGCCTGTCTGCTGCCACTGGGGGTGGGGCTGGAGCACCATTTGGCCACAGTCCCCACCTGGCCTGCTTGCACATTCTTGGCTCCTGCCTCCTAGCCATGCTGGCTAACCCTGCTGTATAAATGGGGGTATTTTTGCTGCGTTGCCCACCCCAAAGTGGGTGTAGGCTAGTCCTCTCATTCATGGCTAGGGAATCCTTGAGTGAGCCTCCAGGCTCTCAAGGCCTTTCTCATCAGAGCACTGATGGGTATGCCAGGGGCCTGGCATCTTGTGATGCTGGCAGGCACCTTCTGCTAGACTGTGGGAAATGGCATCCTGGAGGCCACATCAGAGAAAGGCAGTTATTTCAAAGCCGGGCCTCAAACATTGGTTTTCTTCCCAGATCTTGTCAGCGACCCTGCAGGTCACATTCTTACCCCCTATGTGCCAGTTGAGGAAACTGAGGCTTGGAAAGGGTCTTGTAGCAAGCAAAAGGTCAAGTTGGGATTTCAAACCAGGTTTGGTTTTTTTTTTTTTTTACCTTAAAGTCAAGCTCTTTGCCCCCTTCTTAATGCATGTGCGAGCAGAAGGACTTGGTCTCATCGACCCTGGGCAAATTTCCTGAGCCTGGTGCTGCATGTCTGACATATAGCGGGTGCTTCATGAGCTTGTGGAACAACTGAGAGATGTAAAGCTGTTTTCTCTGCAGAGGTCAAGGTGGAACTAAATTCAGGGCCTCAGAGGAAGATCTCACATGGCCTAAATGGCCATTAAATTTCCTTTGAATTTTCCTAAAAGCCCAGTGCAATTTCCTGCTCTTGATGTCCATGCTCACTCACTGTGATCCCATTGATCACCAGGGTGAAGACCTCCAAGTCCCCTGAGTCTGTATGGCCTCAAGGGGATTGCGGTGTGTCCTGTTGGACATCGAATTCGATGTTTGCCTTGCATTTGGGGACTGTGGGTGTGAGCATATTCCCTTTAAACTCCTTTTAGGCTTTCGTGGATGAGCTGCCTTACAAGAAGGGACTCAGTCAGAGGAGGGAAGGCTGGCTTCAGCTCCAATGCCTGGCATTGGAAGAGGCAGCCACTGAGTTAAGCCCAGATTCTCTTGACCCTCTGCTTTCTCTTGTTTGCCACCTGCAGGTGGCTGCATTGACTTAAGCTTAGGACCCCCATGATGTGTGGCCTCCTGTAAGATTGTTCACTGACTGACTGAAGACCAGCTGTCTCAGTGGCACGTGGACTTGGGGATGGTGGGCAGCGCCTGGCCTCTTCCTCCTGTAGGTTTTTGTTTCTGTTGGGGAAGAAGGTGCTGGGCCTGGCTTCATAAGGTGGTGCTGAGGGCCCGTCCCACCCTTTTCTGGGCCTCAATTTCTGTAAAGTATTGGGTTGGCCAAAAAGTCCATTTAGTTTTTTCCGTAAAATAAAAGACACAGTTTTCATTTTCACTAATAACTTTATTGGTTAGAATATTTTGAGTATGTCGGCTATCTCCCACTATTGGCTTCTAGCGGGCAGAGGCCAGGGGTGCTGCTAAACATCTTCCAATGCATAAGACAGCCCCACAGCGAAGAACTATTTGGCCAAAATGTCAATAGTACCAAGAAGCTTTGCAAACCACTTTTGACACGTTTGATCAGTCACAGCACCTTCTCCATACACTGCACAAATCTTTTGTTGTATTTTTGTGTTTCTTGAAATAATCAAGCACAATATGCAGAGAATGTTGTGTATTTTTGTCTATCTTCAATGTTAAACTGGCCGTGCAAAAATTTGCCAGTTTTGTTAGTTGTTTTTTTTAAATGCATTCTTATTTGACAGCTGTCACAATACAATCTAACAAAATTGTTTCGAATGACATTGAAGACAGCTAAGCACTACTAGAGCTATTAAATAGAGAAACCTGGTTATTCTTGCTGACACAGTAAAGAATTACAGATCAGCAAGCATATTGGTATGCAGGCAAAGTTTATTAGGGCTCAGTTTTAATGGGAGAGCAAAAGCCAGGGGAGCCAGAGCAGGGTAACCGGAGGCTGGGTGGCCATAGGCCAGTGGCCAAATAGAGTGGCCAGAGGCTGGGTGGCTGTGCAACGCTCCTCCCGGCCCCCCAGATTGAGTCCTTTGTTCTGAGGATTTATACAGTTGATGGGATGGGAGTAAGGAAGTTACATATTGATTGATGGGTAAAGGTGGTGTCAGCTTTCATGGGAAATGTGACTACACCAGTGCAGGCATCTGTTAGCCTGAATCCTTGTCTTGCTCCAGGCTCTATTTGTTCATTTTGCATACGTGACGGGAGGCAGGCAGTTACTCAGAGTTTCACTGTGGATCCCTTTCTCCTTCCCCCACCAGGTCTTGGGATGAATACACAGTCTCAAGGTTTTCCTTCTTCCAGCTACTGGAGATGATACACACAGACTTTCAAGCACCACCCCCTCTCCCGGCACCTTCCTGCTTAATCATAGTTTTGCTTGTTGTTCAAAATGCCTGGCAGCTCTATCGATCCAGGCTCAGGACTACTTGGTCAGTGGGTGAGACATCTCTTCCTTTGCTTTTAGCCGCCTGTATTAAGTTCTTTGTTAGATTGCAATGGTGAGGCCCCTGCCTTATTTCCCCTCTGACGACTCATTCCTAGCTGCTACGATGAGCCATCCTATGGAAAAAAACGAAACGAACTTTTTGGCCAACCCAGTAGATGCTGCCCAGTGGTTTTCTAGTGCTCACGGTCCTGAAGCGGGGATATGGTCATAGAATCCTGGGGTCTGCTGTCCAGGTGGCAGCTGTGCGTAGCCCTCCTCTCTGGCTTCCTGAACCCTCTCTGCTTCCACCTACCCCTGAGTCGAAGGCCTTGCCCAGGGATGCTGTTCTAGCCTGTGAAAGGATCCAGCACTCTGCTCTGCCAGCCTGTCGCCTCCCCAAAGGCCATCACTTCTAATTCTGTCAGGCAGGAGCTGCTCCAGGAGCCTGCATGTCCTGCACCGAGGGTGGCCAGGCAGCAATGGCCTGGGTAGGGAGCTCATGGTGGGCGGTGCAGAGACTATTTTTGCTCTTATGCAGTTTATATTCTTAATTGGAGGGGCGAGATGGGGTAACTTGGTCAACAACAAAGAAATCAATTCCATCGATTTCCTAGAGGTATAGATGCCGTAAAGGAGCTATAAGGCAGCAGGGCAACCAAATCCAGGTGGGCAGGGAAGCTCTCATTCAAGAGAGGTTTTCTGAGTTGAGACCAGAGTGGTGAGGCCCTGAGGTGGGACCCTGCTTGGTATGTGTGAGGGACACAAAGGGAGGAGGATGGAATTGGTGAGGGACACAGAGAGGGGCAGGGCAGGGAGATTGAAAGCTGCTGGAGGTGCGTGA